TAAATTTGGTTGGTCTGATTTGATTTGTAGTATTTTTGGGCATGTTGTAACCTAGCTACCCGACTCGGGTCGTTCGCAAAGGAAGACTGTTCGGAGCTTCGCTTACTACCTAGTCGTCAAAGTCACATAACCGAAAACAAGGTCCTACACATTCTACTCGCTTGAAGGGATTGGATTTGCACGAAATTAAACTAAAAATCAAGAGCAAATGATGAAAAATACAAATATAGAGAGAAAGATCGAAACTTTGGTCTACCGAAATCTCCACGGCTCAAGAAAGAGAAAATAAACAAAGAGAAAACATGCAAGCATAGTGATCCTAGGTAATCTAACACGAACTTTCTACACTAGATCATCATGCTTTAAGAAAAGTCGAGATCTCTACACAAGATAAGCACATATAGATTCCTAACACACGTAAGCAAGCAATAAAAATAAAGCAAAACCCTAAAAACGAGCATACACACAATTCGACAACACAAACTCGAAGTAGAAGGGCCTAAGCAAGGTACCTACTCTCCTATCGCATGCTTGAACGAAAATAGTGAATAAAGCTCGAAACTTGGATGAAAATAAACTCGTCGGAATTTCGCCGGTAAAATAGAGTCATGGACCTCCAAACCAAAGAAAAACAAAAGAAAAGAGAGAAAATGGAGAGGATTTCCCAACTTAAAAGTTGGGAAATGAGGGGTGATGTCCAAAATTACAAAGCACTATCTTTTTATAGCTACACCACAAACACACACTAAAAACATGCACATTTACTAAATAGCTCTCGAGCTCGCGGGAGGATTCGCAGGTCACGGACACCATGTGGCACGGACTTGGCACGGGAAGGTACGGGCGCGGCGCGAGAGAAAACGATACTCTCGATGTCGCGAACAAGCTCGCGTGCACGGACGGGCAGTGAAGTTATACTCTCGATGTCATGCAGAGATTCGCGGGTGCGGGCATGAGGAATGGGGACACTCGCGATGTCGCTGAATTGTCTGCGAGTGCGGGCGAGTGAAAAATGGCACTCGCGAGGTCACGAACGTTTCCGCGAGGCGCGAACGTCCTGGGCAGCGGTTTTGCGCGTCCGCGAGGCGCGGGACAAGGCGCGAGTTCGAGAGTGCAAGCAGCTTTTGGGACTTTCGATCAACAAGGCACAAAATACGCGGAATGGAAATAGCTCGTACGCAATGGCTCGAAACTTCTCGGCAATGACTCGGAATTCATCGAAAAGGACTCATCTCTTGAGACTCGATTGGACTCTTCTCTTCATCCTCGGAATAAGCCTGAAAATACACCAAAAAGCACGGATAAGTACGCCAAAACATAAAATATAAAATAAAAAGAAAGACATAAAAACACACGAAATACGATAAAATGGACCGGTCAACACTAAAACTAACCTAAAAAGACTAAACTAAAGCACATAAAACACACGAAAATAAGCACAAAAACACAATAAACAGAGCTACATTGAGAATATGCTGATATTTGCGTTCCACACGCCCATTCTGCTGAGGGGTACCTACGAAAGAAGTCTCATGCAAAATCCGTTGACGACTAAAATAAGAGGCCAAACACATGAACTCGCTTCCATTATCACTACGAACAACAAGCACCAATTTATCAAATTGTCGCTTACTTATAGAAAAAAAAACCAGCAATGTGGAAGCAATCTCAGCCTTATCATTCAATAAATAAACTCATGTCTCACGAGAATAATCATCCACAATAGTCAAAAAATATTGTGCACCACAGAAGGACGGAACACGATACGGACCCCACAAATCACAATGAATCAAATAAAAAATCTCAGGACTAACAGTCTGACTGAGAGGAAAACTACGACGATGTTGTTTAGCACGAAAACAAGCATTACATGATTTATGCAAATTACGAGAACTATAATCAATAACAGGAACCTGGGACAATACTTGAGCAGATGAATGACCCAAACGTTGATGCCACACATCGGCAGAAACCTTCCGAACACAAGAAACTGCCGTAGAAACTGTCCCTCGAAATAAATAGAGACCCCCCAACTGCTCACCCGCGCCAATCACCTTTCGCGAAGTGCGGTCTTGAACGACACAAAATTTGTTAGTAAACTGAGCGGTGCAATCAGAACGATCTAGAAATTGATATAATGAAATCAAGCTGCACCGAAGGCTGAGAACGTATAAAACATTATAAAGAGTGATATGGGATCCCAAATAAACAGTCCCAGTCTTGCTAGCCATAGTCAAAGAAGCATTAGGCACTTGAACAGGACGGGCGGGAATATCCCGAACATAAAAAACAAACTCCAGGAACCCTGTCATATGATGAGTTGCCCCACTATCGTACATCCAATCAAATAAACCACGCGTACCAGAGAAGTGATTATTTTGTTTAGGGGAGTTAACCAAAAACACAAAGTGAGCCTATTGTTCATCGGTTAAACCGCCAAGTGCAAGACGATCAGAATCACTCAAAAGTCCACTAGCAGTAGAAGAACCAACATAACTGATAACAAACGAATCACCAATACCACTGGAGAACGCCGCATTCGCACGAGCACTACTCTTGCCACGGGCTCCACCACGGCGGCCACCACCAGAATTATAATTGCAGCTACCACTGATGCCGGAATTAGACATTGAAAACGCAACCATGATAGACAAAATCAATACTTGAAATAAACAAGCAGCAGCCTTGATGGTGTCCCTTTTTTTTCTCT